CGTGTTATACTGATTCATATGTAGTGGGATCAGCCGTGTTTTTTTTTTCTCTGAATTGTGTCACAGCGATCACGCTTACTTTTAGTTACTTCCAAGCGCCGAATGCCGCGATGAGTGCGGCGATGACAGCCCAAGGACTGAGGCCCATCTCCCTCGTGGAACTAGAGCACCATCTGTATCGATGCTATATCTAATAGAACAAGTGTTTTCCTATCTTTTCATACCATGTCACTTTCTTCCTTCTGTTTCTATTGGAAGAGCTCGTTAAGTTATATGATTGTTGCACAAGTGCTTTCTGATTGGTCCTCTGTATCGCGGTGATTACCTTGGGCTCATAGTTAATTGTATGGCGCAGCATTTAGACGAATACAAGAACGAGAACAGGCAGGATTAGGTATTCCTTCTAACGCTACCCCGTTCAATCGCTATGAATACTAACCAATCAGTCCACCTTCCCGTTATTATACCTAAAGCTCTGAACTGCTTTTTTTTTAGTGTGGGGAATGCAATGAGTATTTTGTAAATTTCCGCCTAAACAATCTTTCTATTGTATCATTCCTTTCAACTGTCTGCTTTCTTTTTCTTACTGTTTACACATATATAGGTGATTTGAGAAACAATTGTTCAGTATGCAACGCCAAACATTCTGCCTACTAATTGGTAAAATGGCGAAACTGAGTTGGCGTTATAATAATGGGAATCATTAGAAGCCCTCTTAAGGATCGTAGAAAAGGCCAAGTGGATTAGAAAAGCTAGTGCTTCGATGCAACGCTTGTGCCATACTTTGTCTTTCCTTCTCAGTCACTACACATTAACTAATTTTGATCTGTTTTGTTGTCCATCAGGCAAGTTTGGCTTGAAATTTGTAAACGTCATTGGTACAAGTATGTATATATTCATTTCTCTAGCAGGTCGCGGGATCAAATCCCGGCTGTGGCGGCTGCATTTCCGATGGAGGCGAAAATGTTGTAGGCCCGTGTATTCAGATTTGGGTGCACGTTAAAGAACCCCAGGAGGTCAAAATTTTCGGAGCCCTCCACTACGGCGTCTCTCATAATCATATGGTGGTTTTGGGACGTTAAACACCACAAATCAATCAATCAATTCGTTTCTCTAATTTCTTTTTTTTTATTCATCATTCTTTTGGAGCTTGTGGCTCTCCTACTGTTCAAGCATTTGTTTCCAAATGAAGTACTGTTTTTACAATAATGTAACTTTTCTTTCTGACTTCTTTTTCAAATTATAAGTAATTGAATATTCTGCTGACCCGCAGGTCGCGGGATCGAATCCCGGCTGCGGCGGTTGCATTTCCGATGGAGGCGGAAATGTTGTAGGCCCGCGAGCTCAGATTTGGGCGCACGTTAAAGAACCCCAGGTGGTCAAAATTTTCGGAGCCCTCCACTACGGCGTCTCTCATAATCATGTGATGGTTTTGGGACGTTAAACCCCACATATCAATCAATCATATGTAAATTAAACACTCGCTGTGCTGCCGTGAGCCCTTGTAAATGGGGGAGGTGGGCTGTTCTTGCTGCCGGAAGACAGTTTTTTGGTGCTCCTCTGTCTGTCTGTGAAATGGGCATAAGTAAAGTTGATGGATTGATTTGACTGATAGATTGATTGATTTATTATTTACTTGATTAGTTGAATGACGGATGCATTTATTTAATATTTTTTATCTATTTATTTATTTACCAAATGATTCATTTTTCGTATGATCGTCGCAACGAGCCATTAAAAGAATTTTTTCATAAGCACAAGTTTACCATTGCCATACCTTACAGCTAAAGTTATGACCCTTCGTCCTTAATTCTGACAAATATTAGGAGTGCCACCTGAATTACCCTTGTTTCCCTCGCATTTGAGGCGGAGGATAAGCGAGCGTCGATAAGAGGCCGCGTGGCAGGAGAGTGTTGCCACGAAACGAAGTATCCAGATCGACGGTTGATAACGGCGACGTGCCGTCATTGAGGGCGTTCGCGAAGGGAATGGTAGATGTGTTGTTGGGTGCGTTGGTTTCAGTTTCACCTGCTAAATTAGCCAGATTTATTTGCTCCGCGGTAACCACCAGTAGCCACTTCTCAGAAATTTTAAAGTGGCCGTACTAGTCTCAGGAAGGACTTGAATTCACCCATTTGACTTGATCGCCTAGTTCCGCTGCTTAAAAAGTTAATTGCTTCAATTTCTACAATTATTCACGTAACTAAGCTTTATAGACATCTGAAGATAAATTTTGCCACAGTAAAGAGAACGCTGCTGGCATCACGCAGATGGCACATTTCTGTAATTTTTCAATAATAGAGGACATATTTCTTGAAACACCCTAGAGGAACGAAGATATCTCATCCCTTCGCAAATAAGCTACTTTCACGTCAACAGGAGCGTCGTAAAGCATAGCTAGCGCTTGATCAACTGTTTGCCTGCCAATCCACCGGGTCAAGGTATCCATTGGAAGATACTAGAGTGACCATGCGTCTGCGTAAGGTTAAATGTTTGAATGATTTGTTGAGGTAATGCGTAATAATAGACCATTTTTGAGCATGAATCACTGTCTTGAAATGCGGAATTTTTTTTTATCTGACAACATCGCCGATTTAGATAGTGTTTTGCTGTTCATAAAATAGATAGCTTCCGGAATCGCAACAAGTTCTGCTGTTCTTGAAGACCACACGTGGTCTATCTATAGCTTGTGCTACTTATCGTTGAGTCAAATGTACCAAGATGAGTTGCTTGAGAGCAACACAAGGAACACGAAACTTCTTCGAAATCCCAGAGACGCCAGTGGTATGTTTCGCGTCCACGGTGGCCCTCTGGTGTTGGTTTCAGGAGCAAAGTCGCAAGTTATGACGTGTATGTGTGCATCTAGGCATCGTGGATAGATACAGGCTGGTCCTTCTGTTTGTAGAAAAGAGAAAAAATGGTTTGCGTGTCGGGTAGACAAACGAAGGTCGACTCGAGGAGGCCCATATAAGACAGGGGACCTTCTGCGCCTCAAGTGCGTGTGTCCTATATGGTGCCAAGGTAGGATGTATACATGCATCATTTTCGTTCTATAGCACGTGCATGATCAGCTCCCGTGGTTGAAGGATACGGCTGCATACTGCACATATACTAGAAAGAATAGGTACACTGTATCGTAAATATCCAACAGACAACGCCTGGTAGAGGGCCTTTGTCAGAGGGGACATATTTAGCGTGGATACAACTCGAACGACACCTATGTATATAGCGACATGCTTTGACAAAGATAGCCTTGGGACAAATGACAAATAATTGAATGATAGCACGCAAATATTCTAGTATATCCTGTTGGATTTACTTTCACAAAGCCAGAAACAGGCTAGATATAGTCATATATTATTAGTGGCACAAACCACGAGTGGCAACGTTCTTTTTTTAGCACAGGCACGTGGTCAAATACTTATTTCCGAATTCCTGAATATTCGCAGATAATGCTAACATATATAGAAAGTCCTGTCTCTGGTAAAATGCTATGGTGGATACATAAGGGTCCCTTGTAATCAATGAAAACTGAATATTTTGTTCATTGAAATATTTTTAGCAGCTGGTATCCTTGCGGCACGTGGCGGCACAAATCTCAACCACGCATTTTCTTCCATGTGACCTCTGAGATCTACTTCTGCTGCGCGTGACCTGAGGAATACACCAGGGCACAAAGAAGCCGCTGATGTGCAAGTGTCACTGCCAGCCAAGAATTTGGGTGGCCCCGGATTTTCGAAATATTTTTGCTATGTAGAAAGCACCACTGGGTCTCGGCTTGGAGCCGTCTAAAGCAAAAGGAAATTTCGGCTCAACACAACATACGACTTAGGACCAATAAACATTGTATACAACTGTACACCGCTTTATCGCTTGTTTACATGCGTGGGTGGTCAATGTCACGGGTGATTTACGGTAATATCATATGATTCTACTGCTTCGCCCACTTATCCTCATTTATTACGTGAATATGCCGTAATTTTTCTTTCTCCTCCGTCATGTTCGTGTTTTCTATACCAGAGTGCTGAGTCGATAAAACGAGTAACGTACGCTACCTGTTGGGGTTCTGATTAAGCTCCAGCAAAAAATATTCTAGTTCAGGTTGGGTACTCCAACCTAATGGTCTTTAGGGATGTTCTTCTCACTGTCAACGAAGTGACCAAATATTATCAGCTGGACAGAAGGATTTTCCCCCGTCCTCATATGCAACTTTGTAGGGCCCAGGTCTACCCTCTGCATGCTTCCAACCAGGTCGTAACGCAGTCTTCGTTCCCACAGCCAGTTTATTGAAAGCATTAATCCAACATGCCCAGATTGTGGCGCCGTATCAACGTTAGAACACATGTTCTGGCAGTGCCCCTCATCACGCGATTCTCGGCACATGACCAAAGTGGAATGGAGCTCTGCGCTCAGGAGCTCAGAACTTGCACATCAACTCTGGGCTGCCCAGAGGGCTCACGACGCGGCGGTGAGACTCGGCCGACCCGATCCAACGTGGGAGCAGCCCGCTGCTCTACCTCCTTGAGTTAGTGTTGCTCGGGACCTCAATAAAGTTCTGTGTCTGTCTGTTTGTTAAGGTTGGGTTTTTAGTTCGAATTCTGCCTCACACAGTGATTTGTATACAGATTTTTTTTTACATCTTTCTCAATAGTAGGCAGGCCTTGCGCTCTCTTTTGGGATAAGCCTCAGTCGGCAGCCCTCTTCGTTTCTGCAGATATGAACATCCACGGCAGTGCTGTCTTGCAGAATCAACTATACCGCTTGATAGAATCAGTGAACCGCGAAAGTGAGCACCATTGAAGCAAGATTTCCGCTTTTCCTCCCCGCATACAAGCCACTTTCAACTGCGTCATCACCATCTTGCGTGTACAATCACCGAGTGCGTCCTAACTGCTCTGACGCAGATAAAAAAAAAGGAACGTGTGCATCGAAACAAGCCGCGCGCTCTCTTAAATTATATAACGCGTTGATGCTCCAACATTGCCCGGACACGTGCACTCTACTCGGTCAGCTGAGCGAGCGCGGCTGTCGGCTCACGGCGTACCACGACACAAAGCGATATGAGCGGCCGATGGCGTGCCTCCAAGTTCATCGTACAGCGTCCGTGATGGCGAATCTTCGTGCCTTCAAGCAGGTATACGCACCTTTCGGCTTTCTATGCGGTGCTGCCTGTCTGCATGCGTGCGAATCAGTGGTCCCGGGGGGAACGCCCCAGAAAGCTTCGAACGCTACAACCATTAGGACGCGCGTTTCTGTAGCGAGTCTAAAACAGAAAAATGCGACCCGGTGGTGGACATTCGCGAGAGACAATGGTGGGATGCCTGTGATTTCTGGCGGGTCACGACGGCGTTGTATGCGCTCGCTTCCTCGATGAGGAGGCGGTCAGTTAGACACTAGACGGATCACCTGTCGTGCGAGCTGCGAAAAGCGCTGTACACGCTTCGTTAGGGCTATTCTCGAGGTTGTACGCTCTTGCCGCTTGCACGCAATGTGTGTGTGTATACGTACACGCACGTCTCGCGGCGCGAGCGTCGCCGGGCTTGCGTTGGCCGCAGAAATCACGTGGTCGCCGAGGTGATTACGACGCGGCGCGACGAGCCTCTGCAGTTCGCGTTGACTTGCGCGTGATTGCATGCGCGGCTGTGACGAATTGCTTGGCGCGGTGTGCGGAAAATGCGAGATGTATAAAGTATATGTGAAGGATTGCTGCTTTCGAAAAGGGCGGCACAGGGCGCTGCATGCCCGCATACTAGAGGGTGATCGCGACCTGCATGAGTCAAGTTTAAACACGCGAAGTTTACGTCATACTCTAAGCTTACGAGTTCAATAGCTTTCAGGGTGCAGTTGATTGTGTGCCCCGCTCAGTTCTTTGCGTGCTGCGATGGGGTGTCTATATTCTCCCTCTCTCCCTCTTTATTAAATTTTCTCATTCGTTTCGCGCGTGTAAGCATGCAGGCTCGCTTATACTTAGTTTCCCCCTAGCTTGCTGCATCGTGCACCAATGTAGAGGAGCTTGACAGTGGGCAGGTCGGCTGACGCTCACAGCAATTAACCAATGTCATGAACAAAAAGGGGCAGCTACTCACAGTTGCAGCGTGCAGATGCACAAGGCAATGAAGCACTTTCAAGTCAACCGAAAATAACGGCTGTGAATGAACAACATGCAAACGAGACATTCAAAGCCTATTTTCGTTCTTTAAGTGATTCGCCACACTAGCCATGCGTTGTAAGACGACAAAACCACACCGAGTCAACTCTGCACTCCTGCAGGGACGTTAAAAGTGGGGGGTGCTACCACTTCATTTTGCGCATAATGTAATGAAGTGAGCGATGCTTATCACAACATGTCCTGTAAGTAGTTTGGCCATGAAAAGAGGAAGCTCAAAAAAAAAGAAGAGGGTTTTGTCGCGAGCTTACTGAACAGATTCCTTACCGAGAAGGTCCGTTAGTGGCGCGCAAGGTAGACTCGATAATTCTTTTAATTTATCCGAGGAAAGGTAAACCTCATAAATATAATACTGGAATGACATGTGGGCTCAACAATTACCGGCCGGTTGTGCCAGTCTGAAAACGCCTATAATAGCAACATATCCCAAAAACCTTCACCACAAACACCGAAACTACTCGATTCAAGTTCCGTAAACACAACTAGTTATGCTCATGTTCTCCGAATACTCCTAAATTACACGAGTAATGTAATCCATTATCAGTCAACCAAGTCTTTATTTCAACTTGTACGCAGAAACTGGGGATGGCAAGAACAAGGCGGCAAATTTAACGCCACTTGACGGGCTTCGCCATCCGTACATGTCAGCAGTTTAGAACCATTAGCTTACAACCAACTACACCAGTGCACACATACATCACATAATATACATGCAACAGGCCGCCTCTACAAGTATGCTGAACTGTACAATTTAGGCACCAGTGCACCTTACAGATTGCTGATCTGCTGTGAATGTCCTTTTTAATTACTCTGTCTTTTCTGTTTGCGCAGCGTACCGCTAATATAGCGAATGAAATATTTTATGAAAAGCTAATGGCTCCACTGGCACCTAAGCTTGTTGTAGGAGCAGTTGCTTGCACGGCCCTAACTTTTTGCAAACTTATCTTGCAATCCTGTTTAAATTAAATCCATACATTGAGCTATAAGAGGTGAGGCGTGACGTGCTAGAAGTACAACAGACAGGCTTTTCGTTAGAAAATGAAACAAGAGTTGCTCCATCTTGCACATCTTCTGTGTTATCTGAAGCTCTCATATCAAATGTCCCGATTGGAGCCCTTGCTCATATTGAAGTCACCCATCTGCGTTCGGTAACAGTAGCCTCACGACTACATTGGCGATGACAGCTGCGACTCTACAACAATGTTTTCCTGTCATATGATATCTCGATTCGTGCACGTACATCCAGTCAAGTCCTCTCATGACATCGCATCGCGTGTGGAAGCTTCGCCTCACAGCCTTGCAAGAATCAGCTCAAACGCACGCATCATAGGCGGAGAAGGAGGATGGACCTAGACGTCGTGTCATTACATTTCATTGCTCTATACCATCCAATCCGCCGTGCACAGCGCGTTGGCCAATTAGTTTTTACCGTAACCAGCTTAATTATCCCATCTGTGCGTCTCTTATAATGCGCGACGCCAAAGGCCAACTGAAGGAATAAAGTGACCTCCCTGTAAACAATCGTGACCAGCTCAGCAGTGAGGAAGACTTAATAAGCAAGCGTCGATTAAGCTTATATATGTTTTTGGCCTCGTGACCGACAGACCGCGACGGATGTGGCAGGCGCCGAAAGAGCTCGCAAAGCTTATCGGCCAAGGCTTAACCGCCGCAAAGCTGTTGGTCTCACGCCTTTCTCGAGGCGAATCGCGCAGCGCTGCTTGATCAAAAAGCTTGCGGCGCCGGTTTTAATCCGTGACCGAGGCCCCGCTGGCTTCGCCCGTTTACGAAAAGTGAGAGGAACATCGAGATTTGCATAGAACAAAAAGAAACAAAGCACCCCCAGCTGCCCCGCTCCTTCAAAAAGGACCTTGGAAATGAATTATTGCGTACGGAAGTTTGCGGAATAATTGATAAGCTCCTACGCATTGCCTTGCCGCCCAATAGCGCCGAGTGGCTCTCGTGGGACGACTCTCGTGGTTTCGTCCATGCACGTATGATGGATGTGACGAACGAATAAGACAAATACGCTTCATCGCGGTTCGAAGTTTCAGAGGCACCTAAGTGGATCAAGAAGACTGTTTATTTCAGTGAGTGAAACAAGTTTATTGCTCATCCGGCATAAAGGGGGAACAGGTATGGGAATTACAGGAAGACTTTAGCGTGATCGGACGTGCCGGAGCAGCAACAAACTCGCATCAAACCTGTGGGTGCACCGCCTTCGGCCGCTGGCGTTCCAGGATACCAAGCACGTGCTGGACCACGTCTCTTTGGTTGCCTGACTCTTGCATTATGATTTTGCTGTTGATGTTAGTTGGCATTGCTTCATGGTTACCCGGCGGGGGCGCACATTCCTAAAGGAGATGTCTCTATGTGGCTCGCGCCTTCTTGCAGAGTAGGCATATATCCGTGGAGTATACCTCCGGGTAGACGTGCTTTGCCCAGATGGGGGTTCATATGGCTTGTACTTGCAACCACCGTAGTGTGGCTGCTTCGCTGCATTCTAGGTCTCAGTGAGGTGGTGGGTAGAGGCGTCTGCTAGTTCTGTACCACTGCAGAATGTCACCGTAGGTTGTGATAGAATACTCTTCGTCTTCGGCATCAGGTCGTTCCGATTCCGAGGAATTTGTTGACGAAGACACGCGGCTAGTTAGCGCGTGTGCCTCCACATCTGCCTTCTCATTGCGGTTTGGGCCTCCGTCCAGTTCCACAACATGCGCAGGGAACCACTTGACGGCAACGTTGGTTTCCCGCCTTGTTATCGTTGAAGATACTCTTGCGGTGGTTACATGCACATTTTTTGTAGCAAAGTTGGCTATAGCTGACTTCGAGTCACTGAGAACTGTGCGGCAACACGGGTTCGCCAGTGCCAGTGCGATTGCAAACTTCTCGGCTCGCGCGGGCGACTTGCATCGTATGCTTCACGACGTTTTGAGTACTCCGGTGTCTGCTTCGATGACTGCTGCAGCGTGAGTGTTAGGCCGGTGGGGATACTTCGCCTCGTCCACGTAGTACGCGCGCGGATCGTTGGCCTGTCCCTTTGTGAGGGCGTTGGCTCTCGCCATTCTTCTTTCTTGGCCCCGGTAGTTGCGGGTCCATATGCTTCAGTAAGGGTGGCACTCTCAGTCTTTGGGGAACGTCCCTAGGTATAGCTGCTTTGCTATCTCCGGGGTTGTCCCTGGCGCGTTGATCCCGATGCGCTGTAGTATCGTTCTTCCCGCCCTGGTCTGGGACAGGTGGTGATACTACATTGTTCCCTGGGCTTCTGCGATTTCATCTAGCGTGTTGTGAACTCCCAACGTGAGCATGAATTTCGTGTTGGTGTGGGGGTATAAGCCCACAACCGTATTGTACGCCTTTCTGATCATCGCGTCGATGTTGATTTTCTCCGCCACTTTCCAAGAGATGTGGCTGACTGAAAACGACTGGGTGAGTCGTAGTAGACGGTCCCCTCTCATGCCTTGGTACCGCGTGGCCACCTTCTTGAGTAAGCGGGTGGCTAGTGGGAGCTTTGCATAAAGCTTCTGTACCGTCATGTTGTTGCGGTTCACATCCTGGAGGTACAAACCCAAAACTCTGAGTGTCGACACGTGTGGTATCGGCGCTCCATCTTTCGTTACACGTTGATGTGCAGTGTTGTCGGGCGTCGCGCACGTGGCGGTGACATCCCTAGCAGTTCTGATTTGGTTAATATATGAGTCCGGTGGGTTGTAGGTCTTCTACGGCGACGACGGCTTCTTGGAGGGCTGCCTCGATCTGGCTGTCGCTTCCACCCGTTGACCACAGCGTGATGTCGTCCGCGTAGATCGTGTACTTGATGTTTCTAACACGTTCCAATCTTCTTGCCGCGCCTATCATGACGAGGCTGAACAACAGAAGGGAGATCACCGAGCCCTGCGGGGTCCTCGTGCTCCCCAGCTTCTTGAGCGGTAGTTGTATAGTTCTCCTGCCACAAGCCGCGTTGTGCGGTT